CTGATACTGAAGGTATAAAACTTGGCAGTTGGTGAGAAGATTTACTTAATTTTAATGTAAAGGCGTCAGATACCTAAAATGAAAGGCTGACGTCTGATCGTTTTTAATTGTAAATTTTTACCTATTGTTATACGTTTTTTATGAAGTGATTTCTTCAAACCGATGTAAAAGGCTACTTCTGTGGTGTGTGAAAAAGGATGAATTGATAGACTCAAAAATTAAATAATTTTTTGTACATAGTCTGAATCTCTAATTAATAATTAGAAGAAAAATATCCTGAGCTCATCATGAAATTGTAACTACATGCAAATCAAAGATAGCTCGTATCCACCACTAGAGGGCTTGAACCTGATACTGAAGGTATAAAACTTGGCAGTTGGTGAGAAGATTTACTTAATTTTAATGTAAAGGCGTCAGATACCTAAAATGAAAGGCTGACGTCTGATCGTTTTTAATTGTAAGTTTTTACCTATTGTTATACGTTTTTTATGAAGTGATTTCTTAAAACCGATGTAAAAGGCTACTTCTGTGGTGTGTGAAAAAGGATGAATTGATAGACTCAAAAATTAAATAATTTTTTGTACATAGTCTGAATCTCTAATTAATAATTACTATGAGCTTGTTTTCTAAATTATATCACAGGATATAAAAAAATTATCTTTTCACCCGTTGACCTTTAATCACCAAAGTTTAATGCAATAAGGATCAAGATGAAACCATCTACAGGCAACTACTTAATCAAAATACGTATACAGTACTTAGTAACAACCCTACTGATTCACTCACCAGAAAATTAAAAACTATCCTTGATAAACTTGAAAAACAAAATCTTATTGATGCGACTGAAAAGCAATTTGTCTCAAGAAGTGATAACAGAATACCGAAGTTTTCCTATAGAGTCAAAACTCATAAAAACCCATTACTTATAGATCTTTAGTAGACATAAAAGGCTATATATTTTACAACCTCGAATTACATCTAAAGAAAAAATTAAACGTTTTAGAGAAGTCCCTTCATAGTATAAATAGTACCGATAACTTCATACAAAAATTAAACATTGTAACATTTAAACCAAGCTATAGACTAGCCTCCCTTGACGTACGCGACATGTATCCATCGATAAAGCAAAACAGAATCTTAGAAACTTTGAAAACCTACAACTGTAACCAATGGATCATAGACATGACAACCCTTGTGTTGGAAAACAACTACTTCAAAAACGAAGGGAAATTCAATAGGCAAAATGATGGCGTCCCGATAGGTTCGGTAATAGGCCCCGTTTTAGCTGATTTTAGCATGACCAACATTGATAAAAAGGTTGCAAGCATTGGGGGCATAATTAACCTTCAACGCTATGTGGATGACTGTTTCATTGTTTATGACAGTAACATTATAAACACTAACCAGATTCTAGCTCTTGTTAATGAAATAGACCCTAATATAAAATTTGACTTAGAACCCGAAATTAACTGCCAGTTACCTTTCCTAGACATCCTCGTCACTAGGTTTAATAACAACACCACTTTTAAAAAACACAAAAAAAACCTTGCGCCGTTGACAGTATCATACACTGCATTTCTGAGATACCCTCTTACATAAAGAAAAACATTTTTTACATGTACATTGACAAAATCTTACAACGCACCACTAGTAAAACTGATAGAACTGATGAAATACAAGATGTAATAAAGATATTTTTAATGAACGGTTACAGTAAAAGCACACTCAACAAATGGATCAATATTAAAGATACTAAAAAACACTAACACAAAAACAATAACACCACTCAAAAATATTTCAAAATTCCATACGAACAAAACTTATTTGAAAGAATCAAATTCATATCATATTATTATAGTATAAACTTAGCACCAGAAAAGTTTCCTTGTTTAAATTACAAGATAAACCCACATAGTATTAATAATAATATTAATATATGGGACCAAAAAAACGTAATTTACAAACTCAGCTGTAATAACTGCACTAATCCAAAGTCTTATATAAATGAAACTGGTAGAAATCTGAAGACCCGGTTTATAGAACACATAGCCGCGATTAAATATAATAATTGTAACTCAGCTGTTGCTGTTCATTGTAACAACGAAGGTTGTCAAACCTTAAGAGAAACTGTAAAAATTGTGAAAAAAATTACATACACAGAAAAGGAGGTGGTATGAACATCTTGAGATCCTTAAAAACAAAGACAGTGTAATGAATAATAATATTGGTCAAAAACTACATGAAACTTGGTATCCATACTTGACCAAGAGAAGCCCAGAAGGGGGTGACAGTAGTGCTTAATTAATGTGTTAAAATACGGCACTCAGCAGGGCACTCATATGTCTCACTTTCCCTTTCTCCTCCACTCTTCTACAATTCCCTAACCGCTCAAAACACCTGTTTTTTCGACTCACCTTCTCTTATGTCCACCCCACCCACTACCTCTCCCCCTTTTCAAGATGATGCCTTCCTAACGCATCCTCTGCTACTTACAATTTGTGGACAATCCTATCCTATGAAACTCTACTGTAAACTAAAACAATCTCTTTCTGTTCCTTCCTTTCTGTTTCTGTTAACTCAACATTGTGTCATGTTTACTGAGATACCTTTTTCCAACACTATGTACTAGGCCGTCATGTTTGCTGTAAGTTCAAAAAATTTTTTACATCTATGTTAATTGTTCCCCTTTTGTAAATCTTTTCCAATTTAATCATTGTTGTAGCTTATACCTGTTAAGCAATAATCACCATCCATATTTTTTCTAATGTACCAACTCCTGCATTTCTCATAATCCATGTAAGTTTCCTAATGTTCTTTTACAATTTTGTAACATTATAAAAAAAATTTTTTTTACTAACTTGTATACATTGTGCTTATTTTATCTGTATAGTTGTAACACAAGAGTTGAAAAGGGATATAATTATTCGAAATGCATACTCAAATAAATAAAAAGTATTTCTAAAGTTTGTCCTCCATTTCATTGATGGTGTAATAAGTCTAGCGGAAAAAAAGCCATCTTAGCGCTCGTATATTTGAACACAAGACTAGACAAGAAGCATATCGCATAAACTTTAATGCAGTTATTATCTCTAATACACAAACCAAATTTCAAAAATTTTAGACAAAAACCACTGGAGTTATTAAGCTTCAAATGGAATGTACAAAATGATGCTTCGCACTTACGCACTCAATCACAATAACGTCCATATACTAAAAACCCTTGAATTTTTTTTTTTGCATCTTACGACGTTTCAAGCTCCACTGAGTACAAAAATATAAAAATCTAGGCCGTTGTTTGATTGATTGCCATACATTCCTTGCTTATATATATATTATATATTATATATAACCAAGAAATGTATGGCAATCAGTAGGCTTATATGTTATATATAGGGGAGACCGAAGCAACTTCGGCATGTGGAGCAAGTTTGTCAAGCGCTTTTTTTAAAAAACAAATTAAAAGGAGACTTTGGTTATAGGTTAGGCAGTTGAGTTCTATTGGTGGCTTGTTGCGTGTAGTGTTTTTATTGTTTTCCAACAAGCGTAGTTGAATTATCAAGCAAATTTTCATTTTCGTTCAATTCCATATAATATTTTTTTTCCATTTATATTGAATTGGCAGGTTTTGTTATAATTCCATGATAACGAAAGTTACTTTTCCTGTTAGAAGGATGTAACTTCAACTTATTCACGTGGCCAGATCGTGGCTTGGCATTCTGTTCTCAGGGTTGTACTTAATGTTTCGAAATCATGACTAGCGGGGTAAGATCGGCAACATAAAGCCACATTAGAAGCAAAGGATAAAAATCAAACAGATGATAAATGAAAACATGTTTGCATTTGTTATTCATGTATATATGTCTTTGAACTTGCATTTCGTTGTAATAATATTAAATGGGTGTTGGATTTGTATTTCTTTGTTTTAATAGTGAATTCCAACTTATACATTGTTAATAACATAATTTTATATACGTGCCTATCTTGCCCCATTACTGTTGCCCCTATACCAGGGGCAACTTTAATAAAAATAATTAAAATAATTACAACTTTACAAAAAGAGAGAAGTTGCCGATCTTGCCCCTATACCCGGGGCAACTTCGTCAATTTCTCTCTTCTTGTAAAGTTGTAATTATTTTAATTATTTTTATTTCCAAACT